CTGATTTTCACTTATCACGGGGGTTTCTGGTATGTAACCTCCACAATAAGTGAGGCACCACTGTGCATCCATTTATATTTTATTTTGAGACAGGGTCTTGCTAAGTCCTAAGTTCCACAGTCAGGTATGGAACTTGTGACCCACCTTCCTCAGGCTGCCAGGGTACTGGGATTATAGCACTATAGGTACTTACTGCTAGGTCCAGGCTCTACTGAATTCAAAATGTGTTTTTTTAATTGCACAGGTAACAGATTCCCGTTGTAAAAGCACACAGGATGAGGAAGAAGCACTAACTGCCATTCTCACTCTTAGCCCTTCAAAGAAACACTTGGAACTACTTCATTCATATTTAAATCAATCATACAGAGTCTTTTTGATAAAACAGAATACTGTAGACACCTTTGTAGAGTCTTTGTTTAGTACAAATATCATTTTTAAATTTTCCTGTCACTGAAAATTTCTGTTAGATTTCACGATTTTTTATTTGTTTGCCTTTTGGTTTTTGAGACATGGTCCCACCATGTGGTTCAGGCAACTTTATTACACAAGTGGGCTGGGGAACCTATGGGTTCAAATCACCAGCCCAAAGGCAGATTTGAGTTCAGTTTAAATGCAGTTTGCATGGCTGGGGAGATAGCTCAGTGGCATAAGCACTTGCCTGATAAGCACAAGGTCCTGAGTTTGATTCCCATTTACCAAAAATAAATAAATAAATATAGTTTGCAAGTAGGAAGTACAAAGATGATAGCAGGTGATTACATGACTGGATAGCTGGATTACGTGAGTTAAGTCATATGTTGTCAGGCAGATGTACTTAAAAGGGATTGTTTATCATTAGACAGGAACATTCTGGTGAGCGAGCATGAGCTGAGCAAGCAGTTAAACGGGCCCTTGACCGGCCAGTCTGCCCCACACATGAAGTCTTTGAAGCAAGTTGGGAACAATATACAGTTTTCTAACTGAGGAAAATTCAAGCTGGGCACAGGCAAGTTGGCCCAACGCATCGCCAAAGAGAAGTAGTGTCGAGGCTGGCTGAATTAGTAATCTAGCTATGTGACAAGCAGCAGGAGCCTGTGGACACAGGCCTGTAATTGACAGAAAATGCCTACAAGTCAGCTATTCTGTAAATTTACCCTTACATGAGAAGGGCCTTGTTTATCCTTAATTTTTTTATCTTTAATATTTGAAGTATAATTTCATAGAACATAGAATTCTAAATTATGGTTGTTGTTGTTTTTTTCTCTCAGTTCTAAATATCCCACTCTTCTTTCCTCTTACTTGCCTGGTTTCTAAGGAAACATTAGGCATGATTTTTGTCTTTGTGCCTTACAAATAAGGTGTCTTTCCCACTGGCTTCTTATAAATGTTTTTTTTTTTTTTTTTCCTTCACTTTCTAGGAATTTGAATATAACGTGACTGTATGCGGGTGTTTGCTCAGCCCTGGGGAGCTGCATCAGCACTTTCAATGTCTGACTAGCCACTGAGTTGTCCAGGCTGGGCTCAAACTTGTGAGACTCCTGCCTCAGCCCTCCAGGATGCTGGGACTATAGATATGCACCCCTCCTGGCTAGTGTTTTGGTTTGGTTTGGTGTTGTACACTACCCCACTTGGTGTCCTCTGAGCATGCTCAGTCTGTGCTTGGCGCACGTTATCAGTTGGGGAATCTTGAACTGTCATTCTTCAAATGTTGTGTCTGTTCCTTCATCTCATCTTCTGAAACCCTCAGAACACTTTAAACTACGCATTTATGATCAACCTGCATATTGCAGGCATTCTGTTCTAATATTTTAGTGCTTTTTCTCTTTGCTTTTCAGGTCTGGAAGCTCAGAGAGTCTCTCATCCATATCCAGTCTACTAATGAGCCTACCTCAAACATTCTTTTCTGCAACAGCTGTGTTGGAGCATTTCCTGCCATTCATTTATCAGGATTTCTCTGCTTGCATTCCTCATCTGTTCCTGCATGTGTTCTGCGTTTGCGTCAGATCCCATAGGGTGTTAATTGCAGGTGTTTTATTGGCTTTGTTATTATCTGTGGTGCAGGGTACAGAGCCCAGGGCCTTGCACACACGAGTCAAACACCACCACTAAGCTTCCCTCTTCTATCCACATTCACTTTAAGTTCATAATTTGATCATGCCAACACCCTTACCATGTCTATGCTGCTTCTGGTTTTACTGTCCTTGTGTGTATATGCGCGCGCGCGCGTGTGTGTGTGTGTGTGTGTGTGTGTGCTTGCACGTGTGTGTGTGTGCTCCCGCCCTTTTGCATGCCTTGTCATTTTTTTTTTCCAAATCAAATCGGTAGGACAGTTTCAATAATTAACACACTGCATACATTCTTCTTAGTGGTTAATTGCTGTACAAGATGCGGACTTGACATCCTATTTATAAACACCATT